TTTAGTTTGAAGCGTGCATTTCTGTGGTAAGAGCGATCTCTTTTCAGATCATTACGGCGAGCACTAGCAAAGCGTTTAAGAGGATGTGTGCATCCGTGTTGTCGTTGTTTAACATCCGATGACACACATGATCTATGCATTATTTGTTCGGGCGAAGAGCACGCACGCGATGTCTCCGAGGGGGCAATCGGCGTGCATTGCGAGCGTTTTTCCAATGAAAAAGCTCCGCTCTCGTTTGTCTCTCTTTTCGAGGAAGAGACGGGCAGCCATCTGCTTCCCGCGATTCAGGTCCCGCCACTGCTGAGGCACGGAGGAGAATGAGCTCGTTGGGATCGCAGGTGGATCTGGCCGATGAGTTTGAAGAGGGGTTTCCCTCTTGCGATCGTCGGCTGTGGACGAGAGTGAGCCGCTGGAGGATGATGTTATTTCATTAACATTGTCTGATCCAGGGGCCAGTGCTTTGCTGGGTTCGGCCCAGCAAAAGCAGGAAATATCTGAGGAGGGCAAAGAAGCTGATGCTGAGCCTTACCAATCCTCCTGCTCTGCTTATGATGAGCTTTTGAAATGTATGGATCGGCGAGGCTTTACTTGCCGTGAAGCGGGTGAAGAAAGTGACGTCGCGAGGTCATCTCGATGAACGTTATTTTTCTGGCCATAACCTTCCAGCTCAGGTGAGCCTTCCTTTCTTCCTGTTTTTTTTCATGCAGACATTGAGAAGGAATGGAAGAGGCCGTCTTTTCCTCACGCATCCATCAATTCCAGCATACGAGTTATGCCAACATCGAGGCGATGCGCGAAAGCGGTTATGAGAAGATGCCCCTATAGAGAGACGCTGGCCAGCTTTCTCTCTATGGATGAGACGGCCTCTTTTAAGACTCCCTCCTTGACATCTAGCTAATGCAAGGGCATACGCAGCAGCAGCAAGTCGGGCTGTCGCTTCATTGCATACGATGGTGATGCTCCAAGCATATCAGGCTGACCTGCTGAAAGACCTGGATAAAGGAGGTCCAGGTCTGAGCCCGAACAACCCAGGGGTCCTGGACCTATGATGTTTGGTTGGTTCCATGGCTTCATAGTGACCACCTTAGGCTGAGTTTACACTGGCACAAAAAATCTGATCTTTCATTCACATCTGACACAGATCGGAATTTGTTGCACACGTGTAAACACAAAAACCCGCACGGGATCCGATTTTTTTGCTTCAGATCTGAGCCACTTCCAAATGTGGATTTTAATTGGATACACATCTGATATCTGGACATCCGACCTATGTCTAAACACACATATCCGATTCTCCACAGAACTCCTAATGCGAGGGCGGCGTGTTTGCTCATAAAGATTTTTTATGGCGTTTTAATGCCGGCGTGCTGTATGCGCTCGCACTTTATTGAGATGGAAACTTTTTATAGGTAAGAAATTGCACATTCAGGAGCTGGTTTTCAACCCCCGCCCCGTGAATTTTGAATATACAACAGCTAAAAGCTACATATATTGCTCAGCAATGAGGTGATAACTAAGCAGTTTTTGTAATTAAACCGACAAGCTTGTTTGCAATGCTTCACAATCGCTCGCTCGCACGTGGGTGCATGCATTCGTTCGTTCGTTCTTGTTCTCTCTCTCTCTCTCCTTAATTCGAATTCATTTCAATAAATATCATCTTTATTTCACTAAAGAATTCTACCTCTAACGAGCTGTAGATAAAATAGTCTAACAAATTAAAATTACCGTTATTTTCCAGTCTTTATCTGTTCAGTCAGATTTTCTGCTGCAAAACATCCATGACAGCCGTTGTCCATGTTGGCAAATAATAATGGCCATTCGAGGTGAATTATATAAATAATTTTAAAAGCACGGCCATTTAAAACCTGATGATCTACCATGTGCATAGTAAAGCGATTACTGCAGACAATCCTTTTGGGTGGGAATTAGGCTAATGTAAACACAGATATCGGATACCAGTCGTGTCAAAAGTGAATGTAAACAGACGTGCCAAAAAATCAGATATGGTCAAAAGATCGGATCTGTGCATTAAGACTTGCAGTGTAAACGCAGCCTTACTGATGGTCCGGACCAGAGGCTTCTTTGGACGGGGCTCTGACGCGGGAACCATGGTGTGTGAGTATGATCCATTTCTAAATATATATATATAAATATATATGTGTGTATCATTTTTGCACGGCACTGCAAAAATTTCCTGGACGTCCGGGCTGGGCTTATGCTTTCAGGCTGCCCTGTCCCTCACCAGGATATCCCCTCTTGCTGAGGCATCGAGCGGGAAGTATAGGTGGCATTTGCGAGAACCTTCTTGTGTAATACTGTCTCAGGCAGTGCTCCCCTCACCTTAGAGGGTTGTAGTTGAGCTTGCCTCTCCCGTTTGGCCCAGTACTTCCGGGTATCTGTCAGCAGATGCTTGGAAAACTCTAAATCCATATACTATTAAGTGCACACGTTAAGCTTTGTGCACTTTCTAAGTAAGTGTGCGCGTTATGCTTTGCCCACTTTCTAAAATCCACATAAGTGGTAAGTGTGCACGTTATGCTTTGTCCACTTTTCTGGAATCCTGTATGGTAAGGGTTATGCGTTATTAACCTTGTTCCCTTTCTCTGAGTTGGTTTAGACCCCGGTACTTTGGGCCCCACTCATCTAGTGTGTCTCTTTCGACACACTCTGGAAGCATCGCTCCCCTCACCATTGAGGGTTATTGTGAGCATGGTGCTTTTTTTCGAGCGTTTAATTCTCTCAGAGGAGTTGGATTCCTCGCTCCATGGGCTGTTCTCGTGGTAGTGTTGAGCAGTGCTCCCCTTTTATCAAAGGGTTACCTGGAATGAGCAGACTATTCCTCTGAATTCGGAGTTCTCCTCTCATGAGAAGTTGAGTTCTCTGTTTTCCAGAGCACCTGGAACCAGCAGCATCAGGTGAATTAGGCCCTTCCTCTGCCCCTCTGATGTCTGAGTGTTTGGCTAGGTTGCAGTACGCTTACCCTTCTGATTCTACAATCACGCTGTAGGTCGAGCCCCTCTCATTGAGAGCTGGGTTTGTGCTCCCTCAGCTAAAGTAAACTACTGCTAGCCATTCCAGCATTGGAACGTGCTGTAGGTAGAGCTCCATTCTCGACTGAGAACTGGGTTTGTTGCTCCCTCAGCTAAGTAAATTATTACTAGCTGTTCCAGCTTTGGAACATGCTGCAGGTTGAGCCTCCTCTCGTTTGAGAACTAGGGGTGTTGCTCCCTCAGCTAAGTAGCGAACGCAAGCTTCAGACAAAGAAGTGGATGATGTGTTCTCCCTGCGTCTATTTATACTATAGTCGCGCCGGTAGTGACGTCATGGCTGTCGCCGGCCAACCTGTTGTTGGTGTTTTTTCAATGTATGCTTCAGACACGGGTCACGACGAGGTGTTCCCCATAGCGACCCCTAGAGGACGCAGTGTCTCGTTCCCTACTCAGGGAACCATGGTTACATAAGTAACCTGAGACGTTATTTTGGGTATGTAGTTCGGGTATGTAGCAGATGGTGTATTCACCCAGCACCCTTTTATACAATGGTCGCCAGCCACCAGCACCAGCAATGTTATTTGTCCTGTTTAGACATGTACTTCAGACACCACGCTGAAGGCATTCCCCACAGCAACTGCCAGAGGATGAACAATAATTGCTTGACAATAACTGTGGAACACACAACACTATTTATACACTCATACACTTATTTATCTATCACACATACTTAGTCTACACCTCAAATTTGCACATAATATATCTGTACATACAAAAATGTCTTTTGTAATATACCTGCACATACAATTGTCAATTTATATATTGTTATTCCTTATTTACTTGTTCTATTTTTTTAATTTTTTTATTCTTTTATTATCTGTGTTTTTGTTCTGTTGCTGTCATTCTGTTGCACTGCGGAAGCTTCTGTCACGAAAACAAATTCCTCGTATGTGTAAACGCCAAGCATGTCTCCAGACCTAACCCCTATTGAGCATGTCAAGGTCTCTAACATCCACCAGCTCCGTGATGTCGTCATGGAGGAGTGGAAGAGGACTCCAATGGCAACCTGTGAAGCTCTGGTAAACTCCATGCCCAAGAGAGTTAAGGCAGTGCTGGAAAATAATGGTGGCCTCAGAAAATATTGACACTTTGGGCCCAATTTGGAAATTTTCACTTACGGTTGTACTCATTTTTATGGCCAGCGGTTTAGACATTAATGGCTGTGTGTTGAGTTATTTTGAGGGGACAGCAAATTTACACTGTTATACAAGCTGTACACTCACTACTTTACATTGTATCAAAGTGTCATTTCTTCAGTGTTGTCACATGAAAAGATATAATAAAATATTTACAAAAATGTGAGGGGTGTACTCACTTTTGTGAGATACTCTCTCTCTCTCTCTCTATATATATATATATACATATAAAAACAAATGATTTATGGCAGAAAAAAGCAGACAACAACAAACTTCTAATACTGTAAATAAATAAACACATAAAGATGAAAACATATATTAATAAAGTTAAGCATTATATGTTATAACTTGCAGTCTTACCAGGGGCACACATTGGGCAGCATTGCTTGTGTATCTCATATTCAGCACGAGCACACTGACAAGAACAAAGTTTATAGTTAAGAGGAACAATAAGTGTAATAAGAATAATGATCCTTAAAGCGAACATAGTCACAGTCTAGATCTATTCAGTCAATGTAACATTTCTTGCATGTCATTAGTACTGTGCTGTTTACAGCACAACCTTCAGAAGCTTCTCATGCTGTGATGTTGGTTGTTGTGTGCCTTAACAGTAAACAATATGGAGGGATTTCGTAGAAAACTGAGAGAAAAGGCGACAGTAGTTCAAGATTCTTCAAGACTCAGTTCTTGTACAGGTCGTGTTTCCACAAGCTTCTTGCAGACATATGCATTCTTTGGAAAACAAACTGAAACAGAAAAAGCAGAAAAAGAATCAGCTCATTGTAAACCTCCTTGTTTATACACTGTAGAAAATTATTACAAATTTCAGCAGCAAAAGGCTGTAAATGATACTATAAAAACCTGTTAATTGTTTAATGGTAAGTTTCCTTACTGTATATGATGAAAAACTGTTAATTCATTTTGTAATTTTACAGTAAAATACTGCTAAATGTACAGTTCTGAGGAGTGTAAAAGAATAGGTCATCCTATAATACATTTTTTTTTAAATTCCCTGAATTCTGTTTGTCAGCCAACATTTTATTTTTTTAATTGAAATAACTGCTTCATAGTTATTTCTCATCAGTTAAGCACATTATAGAGTTGTATGTTACATCTTACGTTAAATTAATGTTTACTGCATTATTTTAGTGTTGTGTGTAACCATGATAGTGTTTTGTATTTGTGTGACCGATTTTAGTAATTTGGTATATGAACATTATTTCAGTTGATGGAAAAAATCTTTGTACTGTAAAATTTATAAAACTGTAAAGGTTATAAAACTTAAAATGTTGCTACAATATTTTACGGTAAAATTCTTTTTACATACTGCAGATTTTTCAGAAAATTTCACCCTTTTTTAAACAGTGTACATTTAGGCGTTTCTTCAACTAATGACACATTTTGCTTGTGGATATTCAGGAAAAATACTAGTTTCACCCTCTCACAGATTTACTTATTTGTCTAACAATGTCCAACAATAAACAGTCATACATCACAAGGTAATTCTGTAATTTTAATAATTTTCTCTAAAACATTACAAACATTTTAAACACTGTCATTTTGACTAAATATATCAAATGCATATTGCATTCTACAATAGAAATAGTTGAAAAAATGACATTATTTTGGAGAATAAAATGGATGACTATGTTTCCATAATGAATCATGCATATGTGCTATGAAAGTGTAGAAACTTAAAAGTCTTATAAAGAACCTTTTTTAATAATAGTTTATTTTCATTAATATATTACTTATATTATATTACTCTACAATACTTTGTAGCATCTATTAGGGTTTATATAAAACAAACTGGACTTTGAGAATTTGTGTACTTTTATTTTTTAATTGACATGGGAAACTGTACTTAAAATGACATTGCTCAAAAACAGTTATTAGCTGAATGTGAATACATTAATAAATGATAATTAACACTGAACACGAATAAACAGATGAAAAAATAAAACAAAATAATAACACAAAATAAATGTAATGAAGGCCAAGTTCCAGTGTAAAATGTCTTGACAGGGTTTTTACATCCATCATTATGTGTTTTGGTGTAACTGAATGGCAGTTTCTCTCTGCAGATGATGAGGTTGTGGGATTTGACAGCATCTGCCTGTATACATAAATTAATTTAGACAGTGAGTTTCTTTCATAGAAGCAAAAGCAATACAGTTTGTAAGCCCTTCACAATGTTAAAAGAAAAAGGTGATAGAAGGTAATGGTAGTGCATGTTTACGCATAAATCCAAGTAAAAATTAAAACTTGATAACAATATGGATTAATATGCTTGTCACTTACCTGCTCTCCTCAGAACAGAAGAGAAGTAGGCTATCCTCAAATAAGCTGGTCAGAGCTGTTCACACGTTTTGTTAAACTGAAAAATTAAAATGCATAATTGTTATGAAACCAGTTACAATTTGAAGGTTCAAATTTATACACATTTTAAGGAGGGTATCAAGTACCTGTTGAAAGTGTAGTTGGATGGTTGAGCTCCAGAAAATCAAAGGATTTTTTTTGACAGTAATCATCTTTTTCATAGTGTGAGACAAAGGTAAAAAAATAAAAATAATAATAAAATAGAGTCAAACCAAAATTTATTCAGACACCTTCAACATTTCTCAAATTATCACAGTTTATTCGCTATAGTTTGGAAAATGGTAATAAAATGACAAGAACTCAGAGTTAAACTGTTTCAGAACAAATTCACCTTGATAATGTCAGATAACTTTGATAGAAAGGTATGTAATGGATTACAATCAACCAAAAATTATTCAGCTGTTCAATTTAAGTACACAATTAGATACAGTAATAGGTCAACCAATTACCAAGCAATGCTTAATTTTGTTCAGTCTGTGGTGTAAAAAGTTTGCATTATCAATTAAAGAAAAAACGCTTAAGCAAAACATGGTCAGGTCAAAGTGTCTGAATAATGTTTGGTCCCAAATTTTTATTCATTTTACTGGTCGTCCACTGTATGAAGAATTTTTGGGTATAATATGTCACAATTCACTTTATTTTGCTATCCTCACTTACATAATGCACACACTAGTAAAAAAAAGATCAAAAATTATATGTGGTGTCTGAATTTTTGGTTTGACTGTATATGAAAAAACATAAAAACTGTTCATTTAGATACAAAGTGCTCAGAGTTGAAGAAACACCTGTTTATTAAGTAGCTATGCAACAGTAGGTAAAATCAGAGGTGTAAAGAGTACCTAAAAACCATACTTGAGTAAAAGTACAGATAACTTACAGTGAAAATTACTCCACTACACGTTACAAGTCACCAATTCCAAAACAACTTGAGTAAAAGTCTTAGAGTATCTGATTTGAACAGTACTTAAGTATTTTACTTATAGGCTCAAAGATGCACAAGTCAAAGAGACATGCCAGTGAAAAACTGTAATGTTGTGGAGAAGCTGCGGAAAACAGGCAGAGGCAAGGATCTATGTGCACTCTTAAAAATAAAGGTGCTTCAAAAGGTTCTTCAAGCGATGCCATAGAAGAACCATTTAAAGAACCATCTCTTTCTTACCTTTTTATAATCTGAAGAACCTTCTTTCACCACAAAGAACCTTTTGTGAAACAGAAAGGTTCTTCAGATATTAAAGGTTCTTTATGAAACCATTTAGACAAAAAGGTTCTTCTATGGCATCGTGAAGCACCTTTATTTTTAAGAGTGTGCTGGTATTTCATGGAAAAACTAGAACAAACAATAAGGCAAAAACCAAAGGGAACAAAGAACAGAATAACTGACAAACAGACAACCATTACATTCAACAACTCACAAGAAACTAAAGAAAAACTAGGGCTATATATACACACAGGGGGCTAACAAGCTTAACAAGATAAGACACACCTGGGGAGACTAATCAAGGGGAACCAATGAACAAACAGACTACAAACTGACTACAAACACCACGGGAGATAGGAAGTGACATTAAAGTCTAGGGCAAGGCACAGAGAGCATTAAACAAAAACTAGAAACAATCAACCAAAAATTATTCAGCTGTTCAATTTAAGTACACAATTAGATACAGTAATAGGTCAACCAATTACCAAGCAATGCTTAATTTTGTTCAGTCTGTGGTGTAAAAAGTTTGCATTATCAATTAAAGAAAAAACGCTTAAGCAAAACATGGTCAGGTCAAAGTGTCTGAATAATGTTTGGTCCCAAATTTTTATTCATTTTACTGGTCGTCCACTGTATGAAGAATTTTTGGGTATAATATGTCACAATTCACTTTATTTTGCTATCCTCACTTACATAATGCACACACTAGTAAAAAAAAGATCAAAAATTATATGTGGTGTCTGAATTTTTGGTTTGACTGTATATGAAAAAACATAAAAACTGTTCATTTAGATACAAAGTGCTCAGAGTTGAAGAAACACCTGTTTATTAAGTAGCTATGCAACAGTAGGTAAAATCAGAGGTGTAAAGAGTACCTAAAAACCATACTTGAGTAAAAGTACAGATAACTTACAGTGAAAATTACTCCACTACACGTTACAAGTCACCAATTCCAAAACAACTTGAGTAAAAGTCTTAGAGTATCTGATTTGAACAGTACTTAAGTATTTTACTTATAGGCTCAAAGATGCACAAGTCAAAGAGACATGCCAGTGAAAAACTGTAATGTTGTGGAGAAGCTGCGGAAAACAGGCAGAGGCAAGGATCTATGTGCACTCTTAAAAATAAAGGTGCTTCAAAAGGTTCTTCAAGCGATGCCATAGAAGAACCATTTAAAGAACCATCTCTTTCTTACCTTTTTATAATCTGAAGAACCTTCTTTCACCACAAAGAACCTTTTGTGAAACAGAAAGGTTCTTCAGATATTAAAGGTTCTTTATGAAACCATTTAGACAAAAAGGTTCTTCTATGGCATCGTGAAGCACCTTTATTTTTAAGAGTGTGCTGGTATTTCATGGAAAAACTAGAACAAACAATAAGGCAAAAACCAATAATCATGTAAGATTTCTTGCATGAAAACAGCTGAACTGGATTAACTGGAATCTACGCCGGTGGAGGAGATGGGTAGAATCACTTTCACTTTAGAAATAAATCCAAATAAAGGATATCAAGAAATAGTACGATCATAGGCTATAATAGTATAATGATTCAAAGACCAAATGAACACAGTTATAGGCTAGGCTATAACCTATATTGGTCGATATTTTTCAGCTTGTATTTCTAACAAGTCTCGTGATATGCTAATTTGGACTTTAAACTTGCAGGTCACGCGATATCCTCAATAACAAAACTTTAAAACCACTTACCAGCAGATACAGGACTAATATCACTTCTTCTACTTTCACAAAACATTAGTCACAGACGTTGGTTGTCTTAAAATATAGCGGCGTTGTTTCAGTCTGTATTCCTAATATTGCGTCAGATAGACCAAGCCCAGTGTTTACTGCCAGCTCACAATAATGATCTTGTGTGGTTTTAATGGGGATTGCGATCACGGAAAATCGAAACTAACGATCGTCTCTGTAGATGAAGAGTGCCCTCTATTGTCTGAAAGAGATGTTTCCTGTTAACATTGTGTTTAGCTTATTCAATTGATTGAATTTTTGATAGTGGGCCGTCCAACTAATATGTAAATACAAATAATTAATATTCAGTAAAAAAAATTAATAATATAAAAAAAAACAAATTAAATTATATAGAGTGCTGAAACTGCTTTGAAAAGTTATATGTCATCACTGAAGTATACTTTGTATTCCTAATATTGCGTCAGATAGACCAAGCCCAGTGTTTACTGCCAGCTCACAATAATGATCTTGTGTGGTTTTAATGGGGATTGCGATCACGGAAAATCGAAACTAACGATTGTCTCTGTAGATGAAGAGTGCCCTCTATTGTCTGAAAGAGATGTTTCCTGTTAACATTGTGTTTAGCTTATTCAATTGATTGAATTTTTGATAGTGGGCAGTCCAACTAATATGTAAATACAAATAATTAATATTCAGTAAAAAAAATTAATAATATAAAAAAAACCAAATTAAATTATATAGAGTGCTGAAACTGCTTTGAAAAGTTATATGTCATCACTGAAGTATACTAAATAAATTGTAAGAGAGCACGTACTTTGTGGTATTAAAAAGAGCCTGCTTTAATATTATTTCCAAAAAATTTATAAATTTAACAAATCTATAAAAATATTTATTGAAACAAAACAAATTTAACATACTGTTTCTTTAAAAAAAGTGTTTTAGAAAGTTAATAATGCAGATGTACAATATACAGTTTAGTAATATGCTTGTTAGCTCATATTCATATTGCTGCTACACTTTTTCTTTTTTTTTTTTGAGGCTTGGAACACACAATACTTCATAAGAAAATCCTATGTGCCCCTCAGTTTGTTTCAAGGGGTTTTTCTTGGGGTAGCTGCTGGACTTCAGACATGAAAACTCCTTCATGTGGATCGAGTCGAAACGGGGCTTGTTCTTCCAGTCTGTCTGCCTCAATATTTTTTCGGCCAGCAACAACTGAAAACACAATGAAGGAAAGCATTATTTTTCAACTTGTATAAACACAAATAATGTTATGCATTGCTATCTCAAAGTCAAAATATATTTTCATAAATAAATCTAATACTATGCCATTGAAGTTTCTCATCTTTGCATTGACTTTGTATGTAATCTACTCGCGCGAATAATTAAATTCGCGTTTGGTGTGAACACACTGTTAGTCCTTGTCCTGCGCAAATATAACACACATTCTAATTTCAATAAATGTACTAACAATCTCTTCTTTATTCCAAATCTTCATTTTGTGGAACCTACTCACCTTGCTCACACACAGAGCAAGAAAAGCATTTTGATGAACTACTGGGTTCGTCTGAATAAGTTGAAGCAGGACATGCAACACAAGTTGTGCTGGTATCTATAGAACAATCCCAATAAACATGGTTTCCTACAAATGTAAAATATGAAAAACATTAATTCTCTTGATGAATTAATGATGATGTAAAGTCACTCTAGTGAAATGCTGTGCTCTGTCGTAAGATTGTGACCTCCTCAGTGTCATCAGAATCAAATATTTGTATAAACTGATGACTTTCTTCTCAAATAAGCATATGACCTCACTTTCCCAACTGAAAGTCATTTCCATTTTTTACATGCAGACATTTGATTATAGCCAAACAAAACATTTTACTTTACACAAAATTTACATTTTCTAAGAGCTGGTTTTTATGATGGAAAATCGAAAATTGTAACTTGGAAAACATTTTTTTGGCTTAATAAAAGCTGAAAAATCTTTAAGTGTTTGTCACTGATTCAAACAGTTTTTCAGGCAGAACCCAACATTACACAATGTATACTGTACCTGGTGCACAGATGGGGCAGCATTCTCCATTTACCTCATATTCAGCACGAGCACACGCACTGAAACAAAGTTTAACGCTCAAAGCGACAACAGCAGCAATGGATACGATAAATCTGAACTTAATCATGTTCATACAAAGTGAAGTGCAGGTTAATCCAGTTGAAAGTGCAGGCAAACATTTCTTCACCAGACTTCATGAGTTTCATTATGGTTTCTTCAACACATTAAATGAAGTACTGGATTTTCAGTCACAGATTTGTAGCACTTTAGATTTCCTCATCAGCTGCAGCTTATGGAGTCTTTGGGAATCTTGGAACATTCAAGACCCAACAGTAAGGAATCAGGAAATCCCTTAGTTATAATGAAAAGTGTGTAACAAAGGACTTCTTGCAACTGACTGCAGACTCCTTGAGACAGAGAATCGATTTCTCTGTCTAGGATCCACACAATGGCAGGTCTCCTCTTGAAACACCTGAGTGAGCAGCTGCATTCTGTAAAGAGCTGAAAATGACAAAATGACAATAAGTTCTAGACCAAGATCAACATAAATGCTAGTTTGTGACCCTGGACCACAAAACCAGTCATAAGTAGCACGGGTATATTTGTAGCAATAGCCAAAAATACACTGCATGGGTCAATATTATAAATTTTTCTTTTATGCCAAAAATCATTAAGGTATTATGTAAAGATCATGTTCCATGAAGATATTTTGTACATTTTCTACCATAAATATATCAAAACTTAATTTTTGATTAGTAATATAACATGCTAAGAACTTCATTTGGACAACTTTAAAGGCGATTTTCTCAATATTTCGATTTTTTTGCACTCTCAGATTCCAGATCTTCAAATAGCTGTATCTTGGCCAAAATATTGTCATATCCTAACAAACCATTTATCAATGGAAAGCTTATTTGTTCAGCTTTCATGTGATGTATAAATCTAAATTTCCAAAAATGTACTCTTATGACTGGTTTTGTGGTCCATGGTCACATTTAAAGGTTGATTAAGTGATACACAGCCCAGTCCAGAATGATTGCATATGTATAAAACAAAGATCCATACACAAAACTATTTTATTAGGGAAAAATACTAAACAATCAACAATATTATTGTTGTGTGACAGATTTGAGTAATTTTGGTATATGAACATTATTTTAGTTAATGAAAAATGTTTTTTACTGTAAATGTAAGGCTACAAAACCTAAAAAGTTGCTACAATATTTTATTGTATAAAATTTCACTGATTTCTTTTTTTTAACAGTGTACAATGAGTGTTTCTTCAACTAAGGACACATTTTGCTTGTGGATATTTTGAGAAAAAAATACAAGTTTCACCTTCTCACAGATTTACTTATTTGTCTACTAACAATATCCAGCAATAAACAGTCATACATCACAAAGTTAATTCTCCAATTTTAATAATTTTCTCTTAAACATTACAAACATGTCAAACACACTGTTATTTTGACTAAATATATCAAATACTGCATTCAAAAGAAATGACGGTTGCAAAAATGACATTAGAGAATAAGAGAATAAAACGGATGACTGTTTCAGACTAAATTCAAAAGTTTCCATAATGAACCATGCTTTATGTGCTATAAATGTGTTATGTCGAAATTTAAAAGTGTTATGAACCTTTTTAATAATAGTTATTTTCATTAACATAGTACTAATATTATAATATTTGCTCTATAATACTTATACATTGTTGCTCTTTTGTTAGTTTTGACTGCTTTTATTGTCCTCATTTGTAAGTCGCTTTGGATAAAAGCGTCTGCTAAATGTAAATGTAAATAATTTGTAGCATCTACTAGGGTTTTTACATAAAGCAAACTGGAGAAGAATTTGTGTTTTTTTTAAGTGACATGGGAAATTGTACTAAAATGGCATGGCTCTAAAAACAGTTATTAGCTGAATACATTAATAAATGATAATTGACACTGAACATGCATAAATAGCTAATAAATAAAAACACAAAATAATAACCCAAAATAAATGTAATGAAGGCCAAGTTTCAGTGTAATGTCCTGACAATGTTTTTACATCCATCATTATGAAATGAATGGCAGATGATGAGGTTGTGGGATTTGACAGCATCTGTCTGTGTACACAAATGAGTTTAGACATAGAGTCTCTTTAAAGGGTTAGTTCACCCAAAAATGAAAATTCTGTCATTAATTACGCACCCTCATGTCGTTCTAAACCCGTAAGCCCTCCGTTCATCTTCGGAATACAAATTAAGATATTTTTGATGAATTCTGAGAGCTCCCTGACCCTCCCATAGACAGCAATGTAATTACCACGATCAAGGTCCAGAAACATAGCAAGGAGATCGGTAAAATAATCCATGTGACATCAGGGGTTCAACCGTAATTTTACGAAGCGACGAGAATACCGTTTATACGCAAAGAAAACAAAAATAATGACTTTATTCAACAATTCGTGGAACTATCCCTTTAAAGGTGCAGTAGGACATCTTGGAAAATGCTAACTTTAGCCTGATAGCAATGAAAGCGAACGTCCCACCCTCCCTGCAAATCACCATCCAAAGCCACGCCCCCTGAACGCATGAATGCACACAGTCCAGACGACCAGAGACAACATTACTACAATACATAATATGTCACTAACCGAGAAAAATGTATAGTACAGTTAGTAAAAGTACTACAAGTACTATTGTTTTATTGTTATTATTATTTTCTTTTCTTTTATGTAAAGCACAAAGTCAATGAAGATGCTCAGAACGAACATTTTGATTGAACGAACATTTCTTGGTCCTACACCTTCCACAGAATATATAAATACATTTAGACCACTTGACTTAATGATTGCTATCGGGATGTGAAGAGACTTTCAACCAGCACAACAAAAAATGTTTCTGAAGACAATCACCTATTGCACCTCTAATAGAAGTAAAGGCAATATAGTTTGTGAGCCCTTCACAATGTTAAAGGGAAAAGGTGATAGAAGGTAATGGTAGTGCACGTTTATGCATAAACCCAAGTGAAAATTAAAAACTTGATAACAATATGGATCAATATGCTTGTCACTTAACTGCTCTCCTCAGAAGATGAGAGAAGTAGGCTATCCT